TAATTTTCATACAATATTTCAAGGGTTTATTGATACCATCGTTGTTATAAGTATATAAATATATATAAAAAACCGTTTAATACAAAACAAAAACAAAAACAAATTAATGAGTTTCTTTTCATTTAAATACCAAAACATAGGTTTCCAAAAGGAAGTTGTGATGTAACCTCCGTCGTCCTGATTTAGACCGCCGTCTGAAAGTGAGCATTCATGGCGCTGTATTTCAAGGGCTTCCTTCACTTTTCTGTTAAAGTTATTAACTTCTACTTTTAAAGTATTTTTGTTGTTCCATGTAAAATTGCCATGACAATTTTTTGAATGCTCCGCTGTGGCTGAGTAATCCCAATTTCCTTTGGCGACACTTAGACGCAAGTTCGTTTCGCTTATTTAGTTATTTATTTAGGAAAATTCTTTTTCGTTATGAAAGTGGGTCAAACTCTATCGACCTTTCTAAATTTGTGTGGAATGTTTAAAAGAAAGGTTGAAATCCTGCCCTTTTGTGGAAAGTTTAGACCAGGCTGAACGGTTTAAACCTGGTGGTAAGTCGAGTAACTTATGCTTGATTTCCATCAATATACCATATAATTTCATCCCCATTGCCTTTACTAAATAAGCGAAACAAACTTGCGCCCCAAGTGTTGCCATGAAAATAAATACATGATAAATAACTTTAATGGCATCAAAGAGGACACTCCACAGTATTTTTAATATGCATTTTTTTGTCATTATTTTTAAGATTTGTAAAATCTGATGATCGCTATTTACGTAAAACTCCAAGTAATGTTTTAAATAAATCGAGTGTTATAATTATTTAGTTTTTACTATATATATATATATATATATATATATATATATATATATATATATATATATATATATATATATATATATATATATATATATATATATATATATATATATATATATATATATATATATATATATATATATATATATATATATATATATATATATATATATATATATATATATATATACATACATTTTATGCATAATGTAGGCTTTCCTTTTCTATATCAAGTAAGCTGAGAGAAGATATGACTGATCTGTAACAAACTCATAAAGATCCAAAGTATCTTTTTTATGAAAAAATTTGGGTTTCTTAGAGTTAAAAGATGCCAATTTCTTGGCAATGGCTTTTCTATCTGAAGGCCTCATATTTTTGTTAATCAAACTAACAACAACAGGTGATCTGATATGTAACTTGTGTGATGATTAACTGTGTGAAAGTTTTTATGAAAGAATTATGCAAATTCAGCAATTTTTTGGGAGGTTCTATAAACACACTTAAGTAAGAGTGCATAACTCTTTGTATTCATCTCTTGGAAATGTTTTTCTTTTGTGCACTTTCATGAGAAATTGCCTGGTTTTATCTGCAGTCTCAGTAAATGCCTCATACCAGTCAAACTGCCTACTTAATTGTTTATCATGAGTTGTCTTGATATTGCTTGTTGGCAAATCCATAAATAACAAATAAACAAATTAGATAAACAGCAGGACATCTCTCCTCTTTTTCACAATTTTAATCTGCACACCTTAAATTATAAAAAATCATGCTATAACGCTGTTTTCAGATTGAATAATTTTTATATTATAACATAATGATACATTTTATATTTAAACTTTATTAGTTCTAAACTAAAAAAGTGAGAGTAACTTCATTTGGTAGTCTACAAAAAATGACCTTGATGTAGTTTGAGAAAAATGTTTTTGTTTGTAATAAATGCAATACTGTAAAATATCTCTGGCGGTTAAAAGTTGACCTAATTTTGGAAATAATGTATTTTTCATTCTTCCAATAAGTTAAACTTTTTTTTTTTCTTTTGCCTTTACAACTTTCCTCTCCCTCTCACCATCAGTATCCATCATTTCTGAAAATGTTATTCAAAACTAAGAAAAAAAAAATACTAAAGTTTCTAGAAATACTAAAAACACATTATTCAAATTAAAACAGAATAACTATGGTGAAAATAAGAGCATACAAATTCAAAAATACACGAAAATAAAGTCTCTAATATTTCATATTAGAAAGTTAACAGACAAAACATAATGACTAAATGAGCAAACCATCTGATTGATACACTTTAAAATGGTAATTTTAAAGTTATTAAAGAGATATTAAAAATAGCCATTTTTGTTCAATTTCACATCAACAGATGACTTTGTCAGAAATATTTGTGGTTAACATTTTAATCTAGACTAGATCTGAAACTTGTAAAATTAAGAATTAAGTCTAACCGTTATTTAAAACTGTAGAAGTAATTCAACCTCTCCAACTGCAAAAACAAAACTCATCCTAGAAACTCTTTTTTGATATTTTAGGTATAAAATATCAAAAAAAGATAGTATAAACAAAAATAGTATCAATAATATATAAAAAAAAAACGTTTAAATCTTTTCCTAATTTTATTTGGAACTCACAAATAAATAAGGTATACTTAATATAGAAATATACACTATACTTAGCTTCATCAAAAAATGACTTATTTTTTATTTTTGATGTGTTTTTTGAAGTACACATTTCGAAGTATATATACATTTGAAGTATATATATATATATATATATATATATATATATATATATATATATATATATATATATATATATATATATATATATATATATATATATATATATATATATAAATTTGTTTTTTTCAAATTTTGAAAAAAGAAATTTGCTTTTATTTCCGCATTTTAATACAAATTGTTCCTCTTATTAAATTAGTTATTATTGGTGCATATGTTAGTTATGTCATATCAAGGAACTTTTCAACTATATGTTACATTGTATAGAGATAAAAAGATTGTAATTTTTAAAAGTTTAAATAACATGATTTTTTTATTATATCCAAGAGGTGGCCACTTCTTTAGAGTTAAGGCTGCCAGCTAATTCATCTAATGAAACTATTTTTAAAAAAACACTGCCCCTTTGTATCAGGATGCATTAAATGAGTCTGATTACAAATATAAACTTAACGATATTCCAAAACTTATCCAACCTCTATCAAAAAACCACAAGCGAAATATAATCTGGTTTAATCCCCCATATAGTAAAAACATTTTTATCGAAATTTTTAATCTCTTTTTGGATTTAATAGACAAACACTTCCTAGTTAGACCATAAATACCACAAGGTTTTTAATAGAAACACTCTAAAGGTAAGTTACAGTTGTATGCGAAATATCAAATCAATTGTTAATTCTCATAATCATCATTTAATAAAAAATAACACCTCAAATTCCAATAAACATTGCAGCTGTTTTATTAAAAACAAGTGTTCTTTACTTCTGGCACATGCACAACACCTTTTCTTGATAAATCCGAGCGTTTGAGTTTTCTTGTAACAGTAGGGTAAGACATATTGAAGCCTGCTGCAGAAAGTTTTTCTTTTATTGTTTCTTACGTGCAAAGATTGTTTTCTTGTACACATAATTCAATAATATTTTTTATTTGAAAGTTTATAGGTCTTTTATCTCGTTTTTATCAGAAAATGACTTGAATGCAGTCATGTTGTCGAATTCTCATCTGTTTTACTTAGCGACAAGATTTTGAACTGTACACTTCAATAAATTAGGAGAAGTGGAAATGCTTGTTGTAGATTGATTTCTTTCAACTAAATGCTTAAGCATTTCAATGTGCTCTTTTGTAACATTTTTCCTTGTTTTACGATTGGTTCTGCTATTTTCTATTCCATCCATTGGGTAAAAATTTGATATTAATGATAATTATAAATAATTAAATTTAAATCTAGATAAATGAATAATTAGTTAAATTATAACTTAATCAAAAAATTTAATAATAAAAATACAAAGAACTAATACTAAATTAAATAAACCATCATCGAATGTAAAAAGTCTTTGTTTTAAGTATTTTTAGCCTCGTTTACCAGGAAATAAGAAAGATTTGTTTTATACCAATAAACTGTTTTTTCAAAGCAAATTGCTTAAATAATTTTTTTTTATTCAAATTGCTTTTTTACAATTGCTTTTGTAAAACGCATATAAGAATGAATAAATGCGCATATAAAAATGAATAAATGCGCATTAAAGAATGAATAAAGGCGCATATAAAAATGAATCGACGCACATATAAGAATGAATAACCCTGTAATAACATAATGTATCAAGCCACTCTATACCCAGGCACTCCAGATGGCAATGAAAAAGTGTATTTTGGATTTATTAAACCCACATTCAAATTTAAATATGCAAACTATACTAAATCTTTTAATTAAACAGAGAACAGTTGAGGCTGTTAAATTGTTTAATCAGGCAAAGCTGAATACAAGAAAAGCTGACTCACTTGACTGAGTGCAAGAAGTTGTTGGCACACTTGAAAAGTGTGTCAACAACCTCAGATGGCTGTTGTTGATCTTCCTGTTTCTTATAACTTTAAACAAGCAAAACTCTACCATAAAATAAACTGTTAAATCTAAAAACAAAAGATAACAACCTTATTTTTTAAATATTTGTATTACAAATACAATCAGCAGTATATATATATATATATATATATATATATATATATATATATATATATATATAATATATATATATATATATATATATATATATATATATATATGTATAATTATATATATATATAAATTAATTTATATATTTATATATATATATATATATATATATATATATATATATATATATATATATATATATATATATATATGTATATATATATATATATATATATATATATATATATGTATATATATATATATTAATTTAGACATATATATACATATACATATATATATATATATACATATATATATATATATATATATATATATATATATATATATATATATATATATATATATATATATATATATATATATATATATATATATTGATTAATAATTATAATATGTAATTAATAATTTTAATTTAATAATTAATAAGTTTAATTTAACTGTGGAATAATGCTAAAGTAGTTTTATTACAATATTTTTTTAGAGAGCTTCATAATAATTTAATATCATCTCTTCAAAATTATGTCTTGTGGAACATAACAAAACTAGTACATCTGTAAGTTTATTATTTACAGTTTGAAAAAATTATCATTGAACTTTGAATCACTTTAAATTAAATTTTATATTAATTATAATTGATTTACTATATTATTTATAATAATATCATTTTAATAATATAAAAAATATTTTATAATAAATAATATATTAAATTAAAAATGAATTTATATGCATCTATAAATATTTATAGTTATGAAAAATCTAAATTAACTTATTATCTAAAATGTTTTTTATTTTTGGTTTATGAAACTTGTTCATATTTTAGATTGAATAAATAATTTACTTTCAAAAATGTTTTTTTAATTTGCTTTTGAACAAGTTGCGATGTAATGATAGTGAGTTCAATGCAAAAAGGGTGGAATATAAATCAGGTAGTTAATATATATATATAAATATTGATTACCTGATTGTAATAAAAACTACAGAGACAAAAAATATATAAAAATATTTTACAAAGACATAATATTATCTTATATCTATTTTTAATATCGGGTGGACACTGAAAATTCTGGTCAACTTTAAATTGAGATTTCCCTAAAACCATAAATGTTTTTTATTTCAATTTTTTTATTATTAAATGTGTTTACAAAAATTAGAGTTTAAACTTATTTTTGAGGGACTTGATGAGTTGTTTGGCAAGAGATCGAACTTTATAGCGGGTTGATGCCATCATTTTGCATATTTTTTCTTTTTTCACCTTATTGGTGGCATTAATCCACTTTTTTTGGAATTCCTTTTTATTATTTGTTACTCCACCTGTCTTTCAAAAACTCTTTTAACTATTGCCCAAAAATCTTCAATCTTGCCCTCTTCAGGACAATTTGGAGGATTCGCGTTTTTAGGAACAATTTTAACATTATTATCTTTGCACCATTGTAGAACTTTTTTAGAATAGTGAGAAGCAGGAAAATTGGGCCAAAAGAGACATTAGTATTTGTATTTTTTCATAAAAGGCAAAAGTCTTATTTGGAGGCATTCTTTGATGTAAAGATTGGGAGTCAAGGTCTTCTTAGTGACAAAATACCACAGCTACAAATTGCTTGTCACACAAGGAACTTATATGCAAATTTTTCTCATCGTATATATATTTAAATTGATCATCGACAGGTTTATCTTTGTTCTCATAGTAAAATTGCTGACCAGAAAGTTGTGAAAAATCCGCCTTGCAATATTGTTGTCTTCAATTATGCACATATTTTTATCTGCTATTATTTTAACCAACTTCTTTGCGCATTGAATTCCTATAATTTTACAATTTAAGTTTTTTTAGTATAAGAGCAAGAAGTCTTGAATTTTTGTGCTGTGACTGGTTTGGATTTCTTGCTGTTTCGTGCTGTGACTGTTTGTGATTTATGTTTGTGATTTATGTGATTTATGGAAAGTTTTTTTTCTTCCACTCCCAAGTTTTCTTTTGAAGTAGTCTTGAACTTGTTTATAATATCTATGACTGCTGATTTTGGGACATTTGTGCGTTTAGCAATCAAGCGATAGGAAGTCAATCAAAAAAAAAATTCACAACTTTTTTACGCACCTCAATTTGTTCCGAAAACATTTTGCAAATCATTAATTTGTAAACAAAAATTTATCAACACTATTTAAGATAAGGAAGTAACATTTAATCAAAAAAAATTTTGTAATAAAAAGCATTTGTGGTTTTAGAGGAACCTCAATTTAAAGTTGACCGGATTTTTCCGTGTCCACCCGATATCACCTTTATTTATTGCTTTTTTACTTTTTCACTGCCTAATATATTTCATCTTTTGACCAGAAAAAAGCGTGTTTGCAAAATATTATTTTAATTGATCCTGAGTTAGCAGTGCTTTATTCTTTGAAGATCTTTGAAGTTTTAAAAATTATTTGTAAAATCAAGACAACCTTTTTGAACTGATTATTGTTTTGCTTGGTGACTGCAAATCATAGCAGAATTTTGATTGCTAGACATCCTTGTTGTAAATTAAACACACTCCTTTAGTTCAACCAAAGTTAGCCAAGGTTAAAAATTAAGATAATGTTTATAACGTCTTTCTTTTAGGTCATTATTAAAACAAGTATAAAGCTATAAAAAGAGTTGTTGTACTTTTATTTTGTTGTACTTTTATTTTTAATTTATAATATATTGTTACCCATAAAGCAAAAATTTTTCTTGCATACAAAATAATAGATAAGTGTCATTGCACTATTGCATCTCTTGCAATATATTTCATGAAAGCAATATATTTCATCATAATGATAATGACTATGAAATATATGGCAATATATGGCAATAACTAAGATTGTTCAGTTTAGCAGTAATTAAAATTCAACCTATTCTGACTAGTTACAGCTGTCATATATCATTTATTAAGAATACAGGTGCTTTATCTAATTTTTTTTTTTTTTTATCTAATTAAGATTGATACAAATTTCTTTTTACTTTGTTAATATTTTTTTATCTATGAAAAACTAATTTTAATAAAAAAATCAAAATTTATTTTATGAGAAACTATATAAATGTAATTTTAATAGAAAAACAATAAATAGTTTATGTTTAAAAGAGCTTAAGGTTAATACAGTTCAAATATTACAGGTCAGGTCATGATCAAGATCATTATGATTGCCTTGCTACAAATAACATGTAATCCAGTACAATTTTCTGCTGCCTTGTAGAACTCACTTTTTTATGTAAATGTTAGAAGTCAGCTGACTTAAAATACCCCTGCTTTGCTATTCTTGTTTGAGTGTAGATTAGTATCAGTGTCTTGATAAAAATACTTATATTGGGTAGATGTTTATTGCATTTAGTTACTATTTTTATATGTTCCTTCTTGTTATCCTCTATGCAACTCTTTCTGTTCTACCCTTATGGAAGTACAGCTAAAAAAATCAGTGGCAGGTCTAAAATAAAATTTCCTAAACTCTGTGTTTGCTCTTAGAGAGGGTAATTTCATCAACAGCTGTAAATTATCAAACTATTAGCAGTACTATATCTGAGCCATTAATTGCAATGAGCATTAAAATTACTAATAATAACTATATTGGCTGATTGATAAAAATAAAAAGCTTGAACAATTTGATTCAAAAAAACTGTAGAGAAAGCAGAAGAGCCTGCTAATCAATTTAAAGTCAACAAACTTAAATAAAAACAGGCTTATTATGTGGCCTCAACAAAGCACAACAAAAATACTAAAAGGAACACATTCCAAGCACAACATGGTACTGCTAAATGCTTAGTATTTTTGTTTTGCTTTGTTGAGGCCACATAATGAGCCCTTATTAAGTGTTTAACTCATTGTTATACATTCTAATCACTCCAGCTTCCGTTTGTAAAGTCAATTCTCAATAGAACTCTTTTACAGCTTGCAGGCCAGATAACATTCCTGTCATAGTCTTACTAAAGTGTTCATAACTGTCTTTAATTCTCTCTAAAGTATTTAATAGGTGTTTGACTGAATCTTGTTTTTCTGCCTACTGGAAAATCAAATCTGTGGTTCCAATTTTTTAAAACTTGAAAGAACTTGCTGATCCCTATAAATATTGTCCAATTATTCATCTCTCCATTTTAGGCAAGGTCTTTGAGTTTTTAACAATTTTCAAACACCCCATCTTGAGTCAAATAAGTTACTGTCAGAAATCAATACGTTTTTCAATCCTCTCATTCTACGGTTGGCTTGCTAACTGCTGTACTAAAAGATTTTATGGTGATTAGATGGATGTGGCAAAGCTAGTGCTATGTCTCTTGACTTATCTAAAGCTTTCGAAAAAATTTGGCATGCTGGTCTTTTCCATAACATTCTTCTTATGTTGTATCTGTGTAAGTTTTTGAGACTATCAAATCATTTCTTTCTAACTTCTTTATTAAAGTCATCCTTGAATGCCAACGCTCTTTTTTATATCTAGTAATTTCTGGAGTACATCAAGGTTCTGAAAGGTAAAGGTAACTGAAAGATTCTATTGTAAATTAGATGCAGGCATTGAGGCAACGTTTATTGTTTTTAGCATATTTTAACCTTTTAATAAAGTTTGGAATACTGGTCTTTTTCACAAGCTTGCTTCATATAGTGTTTTATGGATAAATTTTGAGATTATTAAACTGTTTCTTTCTAATCACAACATAAAAGTGACATCTAAGGTGTCACTTTTATGTTGTGATTAGAAAAAATATAAAATCTTACATCTAAGGTGGCTTACTACTCAGCTTTATACTCCTGTTTTGACAAAAAGTCAAAAATTGGCCTTTTTTAATTGGTTAGAACAGGCAGCTGATCTTGAATCTGATCTCACATCAACAACAGCTTGGGGCTTTTTTATAACTTGCTTTTTCACAAACTTGCTTCATGGAAATCGATTTATTATGATTGCAAAGTTAGCAACTACTACGTTGTTTCTCTTTATTGTGCTAGCCATAAGCTTACTCCTGATTTCATTCTCTACCTTAATATAAAAAACCAATATAAATTTTTTTTATATTTATTTGCATATGGAATACTGTTGTCATATTTGGGCTGGTTCTTCTAATGATGCTCTTTCTCTTCTAGGTCTAAAAATTAAAAGAGCTTGAACCTCTCCCTTTGTCATAACATTGAATTTCTTTCTCTATTCTACAAATACTATCATGTTTGCTGCTCAAAGTAGCTATCATTGCTAGTTCCCTTAACAAAAACTTATTTTTGTTTGACTTAACATTCAGCAAAATTATATCTTTTTACAATATTTATTCCTTCATGCTCTAAAAACTTTTATTTGTTTAGTTTTTTCCCCACACTTTGTTCCTATTGAACTCTCTCTTCCATCTTCATGTTTTCTTGACTTACACAACCTACAATTTTTTATGTTTTCTGTCAAACGTTTTCTTGCTCTTTACTTCTTTCTATTTTTTGTTTTATAGTAACTCCTAACTAAATAGTGGTTGCTTGCAGTCTTTTTGTGAGTGAATTATTCAAAAAAAAAAATGCAAGTTAGTTAAATAGACAACTGTTTACAGAAGACTTAGTTTACTATAAATTAGGGATACATCTTAATGATGCAAGAAAATATCCTGATAGTGTGAACAGTTCCTTAGCTCTAATGATTGTGGAAAAGATATATTTATATATAAAGTAAAAAGGAATAAAATAAGTTTGTATAAAATAAAGTTTGAGTAAAGAGTTTTTTATCTTCACTAAATAATTGACTTTAATGTTCATCGTCATTTTGATGAGCATTACAGTCACCAAAATAAAAATATTGTAAAATAAAGCGCTAAAATAACTTGACTGGTAGATAAAAAGAAATGGCTGATGGATAAAAAGTCAAATGTTTTTAACAATAACTTTATGGGAAGTCTTGAAATTGTAAATCTAATAAATCAAAAGTTTAAAAATTGTATAAAAATATATTTATATAAAAATAAATCCTAAAAATATAATTTTATCTAAAATTTAATTTAATTCATACTATAATTTTATCTACTTTGTTTAAAAATAGATTGTATAAATGCAATTTTATCTAAAATTGTTTCTTTTTCCCCTCATTATAATTTGATTTGATTTTTTATATATTTGTAGTACGCATTTGTGTATATATTTGTCTTTTTTTTATTCAGTGACCTTCATAAAAACCAAATTAGAGAATTAAATTCTCGATTTATTACAAGCTGTAAAGATCTCAAAGTTTTGTAAGTTTTAAAACTTTTAATTTAGACTAATTATATGTTTAATAAGTTTTGTATCTTTTTGCATATTTGTTTCCCACCATTATCTTTAATCTTCAACCACTCTGGTTAGTTTACCACTATCTTTAGTTCATCACTGCTATATTTAGATAGCTGCTACTTTATTTTGTTTGCAGCTACTACATTTAGATCACCTTTGCTATGTTAAGCTCACTACCATGATAATATATTCACTGTCATCATAAATTTTTCTATATTTAATTGTTATTATAGTTAATCAACGCTGTTTTTAGTTACCTTTACTTCATAATCTTGTTTACTAGGAAAAAACCCAGGAAAAAAGTTCTATAGGAATTTCTATAGAAATTAACAGTTATTCTATAGAAATTCTATAGAATTTTATAAATTTTCTATGGACCATATATTTCAAAAATTTATAAAAATTCTATAGAACTTTTTTTCCTGGGAAGCCTTTAGTTCACTTTCACAATTGTTTTTATACCTGGTGTGTGTACAGACAAACAGTTGTTATTCATTATTTATTTTTAACACATGCTTTTTGTTCATGAGCTTTTTTCTATGCTTTACGTATTTAAAATGATAATTTTTTATTGATTGTGTCAGAAAGGATTAAAATATTTGTACAACATGATGTCAATGTCTTACTGTTAGCATGTAACAAAAGTAAAAGAGGAATTTTTTTTTAAGAAGCTGGTAACAGGAAAATAAATTTAAGTGCAAACAAACTAATTTTACATTTATTAAAGTACAAAAGAGATAGATAGTAAATAAACAAAGATAAAGTATTTTACTTCTAAGTTTCAATTTTTAAAAAAGATTTTTAAAACATTTATTATATAAAATTTTAAAATTATAAAATTATGATCAGGATTCTTCACAGTCAAAAAGTTAAAATGGAGGTTGTACGTTTTGATTCAATTTCTGATCTTCCTTCATTAACTGAGTTGTAAGTTATTTTACATATATTTTAGTGTTTTATTTATTAGTTGTACTGATTAAATTTATTTATTAGTTTTATTTATTAGTTACTAATTGAATAGTGATTAAATTTGAATTTTTTTTTAAATTGTTTTTAAACTCTGTTTCAAGATGGTTAGGTAGTAACTCGTTGACACGATTTCCACATCCATTATTATTTGAAGATTTTTTTCCAAAATTACAAAAATTGTAAGTTTTTATGTAGTATCCATTTAATAATCATGTTGCCTATAAGCTGATGTTTTCCAAGTTTATTTTATTCAAAAAAGCCTTACTTTAAAAAATTCTAACAATTTAGTTAATTGAGTTATCCTGTAAGTGCTAGGTGTTAATTTTAGCTTAAAATTTTATGGAACCTTTCGGAAACATTTTTCTATAATGTTTATAAATTTGTTAATACTTCTTTAAGATAAAATTAACTGAAGTCTTCTTAAATATATATTTTAGCAGTCATTTTTTTTTAATTATTTTTTGTGTTATGCAAATATACTGCCATTTTGTTTTTATTTTTAAAATTTTGTGTTAGGTATCTTGATGGCAACCAAATAAATTCTCTTAATGATTATTATAAAGAAGATTTTACATCTACAGCACAAGTTTACTATTTGTAAATATAAAAAAAATTTATTTTGGTTTTAAAGGAAATTCTATTAATGATAACAAATAGTTGTAATATATATAAATAAAAGTATATGCACACATATACATACACGCACATACATGTACACACTAAAATCTAAAATATATATATTTTAGGGTTACCAAAAAATGCACAAAAAAATTTCGTTCTATGGGTTTTGCTAACTAGTATAGGTTCCCAGGCAAAATTTTAAGTATGTTGGTTACTTGTAACAGCTTCAAGTAAAAATCCATTTTTAAAAAGAATTAGCATTTTTATTATATAAACAAGTATATTTTACATGTTTATACAATAAAATAATATCTTGTACATTGTATAAAATATGATTATTTCAGACATAATAAATAATACATGTATTATAATTTTAAGAATCAATTCATTTAATGAATTTCAGCAGTCAGCATTATCCTGTTCAAGCTTATGTAACAGATAGTAAATAAGTAACGTAACAGAGGAGCAGATTAGCGTAACAGAGGAGTAGATTAGCGTAATAGAGGAGTAGATTAATGCTGGTGTACAATAAAAATACTTTTTTTTATTTTTATACATTATTTTATTCATAGTCATATTGACAATGCCCACCAACTCCTCTCCCCCTTATCCTTAACCTAAATCCTAGGACCCCACCACCCCACAGCTACTACTGTCTGCCATTAAGCTCTTATTATATTAATACTCAATACACTTAAAAGCACAGTTTAATAAATTTTATATTTGTTTATAAATGTTTAAATCAATTTTTTTTTCCATTATTTGAATATTTTAGAAAAGTGGGAAGAGCTAAAGCTAAAAAAGGAGCTGTAAAGCCAATCAATTTTAACCCAAGAAGATCTGTTTATCTCCTTGAAACTCCACTGAGCTCTCTACCTAGCAGGCAATTGCCTACTAATGGTCATGTTATTAGATACTTTCTGTACATTATTTCCCCCAGAGTTAAAAGAATCAGACCAATCAGAACTAACTTTGCTTGTGCACAAAAGACATCTTGTGGAGATATGAAAAGCAAAGGAACTGATGGGCCTTACAATGCTGTGGCTGGATAATATTTTTCAAGATCAAAAACAAGACAAAAAAATGTTTATCAGTGCTTGCATTGATAAAGAGTTAGAGGCCAGGGCAACATTTAATGACTCTAAAACTGATTAAGATTTGTCTTTTAAAAAGATGATAATTTATTTTAAAAGATGATAATTCCCTCTAAATAATATTTAATTGTGATTAAACAGTAACATTTTTTTAGCATTACTAGTTTCACAAATCATATTTAAATATTTTTATATACTAAATTTCAAAAGTTTTTATTTATTTAGATAGAGAGAAGAATTGACAAATTCACTAGACACAAAGAGTTACGGAAGAAAGCTGAATCAGATTGGTTGGTTCCTAATGATCCAGAAAGAACAGATAATGAAGATCATAACTATATCAGTAAAGAAGATAAACCACCTTTTAAAAAATGTAAAAGAAAATCATTACTAGGTATAATGTTTTTTATAATCTTTTAATTATTTCCTAGTCATTTCTCTCTCCCCCTCCCCCCATCTTTTTTAATATCATGTCATGCAAGAGATAAAAAAATATTTTTGTTTTTTTTCTTACTAAAAAATTTCATTGATAGGTCCTTTGCAGCTGCACCTTGATAGAGAAGATTATTACCCTGACTTTAGCATTGAACCAACTTTGGCTGATAAATCTGATAGACCTAAATCAAGACACAGCCTTAGCAGTAAACAAGGAGATCACTAGGGAGGGTTTGATTGCAGCAACCACACCAATGTGTATGAGAACTGGTATCAGTATAAGACATCAAACTCTATTCATCTCTAGCAATGTAAATTATCTTGAAGGAGATATCACAAAGTTAAAGATAAGCAGAGAATCTATCAGAAGAGGCAGATACAAACTAATCCATTCTGAAGGTAACAAACTGTTTTAATATTTTAGTTTTTAGATTGTAATAATATAGTAATCTGTATTAGATTGCTGATTGATAAATTTATTAAATATAAAGATAAAATCTATTTAGGTTGTAAAATCCATAATGAGTATATGGAAACAATGAAGAACAAGTGGTTGGTCCTACACCAATGGAAAAATTGTAAAGCACATAAAAGAAAAATCAATGAAATTTTTTGATTGACAGATAGTATCAGTTGAAAATCCTGAGTTTTCTACAAACAATTATTTACTTCTTGGATTTGTTCCTGTGGATAATGGAAAAGCTAATGATATGGCTATTGTAATCCAAAATCTGGTAGAATATTTTGAAATATCAGAAAATATAATTGCTGTGTGAACTGACTCAACAGCTTTAAACACAGGAAAGAAATCAGGAGCAATTGTAACTTTAGAGTTTTGGGACTATCAGTTCCCTGGCTCTTGTGTTGGCATCATAGACCCATATAAAATGGTGCATCAAAACTATTTTTTAAGGGCAAACTGTGGGACCGTCTAAACAGATGTTTAAAGATTTAAAGCACGCTTGGATAAATAGTTATTACCCTATTGTAAGTAAATCAGGAACTGAAAAAAAATTTAAGAAGTTTCCTGAAAGTGAGCTGGTTGTTGGAAGTGATCTTCACAGCTTATATCTCAAGTCAAAGAAATTCATTACATATTCCCTTGAGCATAATATTTTTCCTAGGAATGATTACAACCATTTTGTAAAATACCTTGCATTCTATATGAATGTTAATTCACCCAAGCTTGAAAAGTTTAGTTTGTACTAACCAGATGCAGATTTATGTGTGACAGCATCTACTTGGGGTTTCTGGGTATTACGTCTCCTATTATTAACTTCCTGAGTGATGATCAGAAGACTTTAGTCTCTAAGGCTAACTTTATTGTTGCCTTATACTTTGCTCCTTCAATTCTTAAAGCTGAACATGCATTAGTAAATAACCTTGAGGCATACAAAGCTGCTAAAATCATCCAAAAAGGATTGGGATTATGATGTTGGTAGTACCTTATTAAAAAGCCTCAAAACCATACTTTCTATCTTTCACCAAATTGTGTTACTATGGCATTAGTCTACCAAAATGTCTGTCATTGGGAAGCTACTTACATTCTCTGTACCTAACAACAAAAGGCTTAAGCTTCAAGGCTCCAGTTACGGAATCCATTTCAGAATCTACTAAACTAAAAGACTTAATTACAGAAGAAAGTTGGCTTCTGTTTTTTATTACCTACACTCATAGTGTTGTCAGAGAGTAGTATCAGACTGAGGGAGACTTGGAGGAACTTGCATCTTATAAAGACTTTTGTAGCTTCGTATGTTGGTCATTAATGATTATGCTGAAAGAAATATTGGTCTTATCCAAGAATATGTTGATACATCCCACAATGAAGATCAATGCCAGAATATATTGTTGGTTGTCTAAGAGCATAGAAAGCTTTTCTCAAAAAAATGCCACTCTTGTTAAATAAATGATGTTAGAAAAAAATTGTATTGATTTTTTTTATCAGTTAATTATCTTTAATAAAGACAGTTCCAAAAAACAGTTTAAATTTAATTTTCTTCATAACCAAGTTAAAAATGTTTCATTTTTACCAAAATTCATGCTTGGAGTTAAAACTTAGTTTTTACTTGTAGCTGTTCCCAACATATTTAAAAGGAAATATTTTGGGAGGGACTCTTTATGTGTTATATAATAGTTAGGAAACCTTAGCATGTTCAAATTATTAAAAAAAATCTTTTTTTTTTTCGCATTTTTGGGTCACCCTAATATATTTGTATATATATATATATATATATATATATATATATATATATATATATATACACATATATATATATATATCATTTGTTTTATTAATATTATTTAAGATTATTAGTTTTATTGTTTTTTTATTTTATAGATTAAAAAGAAAAGATTTTCAACCATTCAAAAAGACACCTGCCATAACACATTTGTATGTCTATGTAATATCAAATGTAATATCATCTATGTAATATAAAAACTTTATATGCTTTAAACAATTAATTTCTTAATTTCTTTTATTTTTTATCACATTTGTGTTTGCATTTGATTGAGTTCTGTTATTGTTTAATGTAATATAAAATACAAAAAAAAAAAAAAAATTTACTAATAAAAATACAGAAAAACCAAAAAACATCAGTGAAAGTTGTTTTTTTTTTCTGTATTTTTTTTTTTGGATAAATGTGCAATATTTTACTTGACAGCTTTTTTTTAATTATTTTTTACAACATTTTATTTAACTTGCTTTCTTGTTGGTTTGTTTAGTTTATTTATTTTTATTTTCTGGTGTCCACACAAAACAAACACAAGTTCAGCGGTAATAATAAAATAAATTGTTAAAAAGAGTAATTAAAACAAACAACACAAAACAAACTTTAGTTTAGCGTAGATAATAGAAATCATTCAGAAAAGTAATTAAAACAAACAATAAACAACAAACTTTTTGCTTTTTAGTTTAGCGTAAATAAATAAAATCGCTGTTGAATAATAAAAAATATAATCTATATATAAAATATACAAATATTAAAAATATATATATACAAAAAGCACTTTTTAAAAACGACATTTTAAAAATAGACTAAAAAGTAAAAAAAATTGGATTTTTCAGGTTGTGTAAGCACACAAAGTCCTTTGATCCCATGAAATGGTTTATTTTTTACTATTAAGTCCATTTTTAAAATGTTGTTTTTAAAAAGTTTTTTTTATATATATATATTTTTTTTACTTTTTTTGTCTATTTTTAAAATGTTGTTTTTAAAAAGTGCTTTTTATATATATTTTTATTATAATTACATATAGATACATGAAGTTCAATCGTTTAAAAGCAATAGATGAAAAAGACTTACAATTATGTCGTAACCTTATTTATCTGTAAGTATATATTTTATTAATGACTAATATTAATATTAATGTATTAATTAATGATTAATATGAGTAATAAAAAGCATTTATTAATAATTTTCAATCATTTTCACTTCAAATCATGATTTAAAATAAAATCTACAACCAACCATTCTTCGTATTAAGTTTTTATTACAAGAACTATTTAAAATTGTCATTGACAATAATAGATTTTTTTAAATTTACTGGATCATAATTTATGGACTTTTAATAATTTGAAATCTGTTGATAGTTTCTAATCAATAATCTAGTTAAAGGTTACACTGAAAATGTAAAAACTATTTTCAGCCTTTCAGATTAGATTGGAATCAAAATTATAATCATTGTGTTACTAGTAACTTATTTATGATAGAGAACAACTATCTTGAAAGTAAACTTCTTTTTATGATAGCAAGAAATTAATGCAAAAGCTATTATTTTATTGTATGTTCCATTATCATTAAATTATCTGTAAACAGAAAAAAAAAATAATTATGTGAAGGTTATATAAAACTATATAAAATATAAATCCTCTAACTTATCTCTGGAAATTAATGGATACACTCTTCTTGTCATTCAAAGAAACAGTTTAATCCATTGATAGACATTCAAATCACTCTTGCCTGCTTCAGTTAAAGTTATTTTCAACTTAACATAATAACCAGGTTTAGATAACATTTCTTTTACATTCTTTAAGTGTTCAATTAAATATTGTTTTCTAACTTGCTGGTAAATGATATATTTGGTTATTTTAAAAAAATAGAGATCTTTGAAACCTCTCTAACTACCATCTAATCTTCTTAAATAAAACAAACTCCACCGTACTTTCCAGTATTGTTTACTTTTTTTAGAAATTTTTCAAGGTCCAAAAACTTTTTTTCCAAAAGTTTTTCTCAAACTTACTTTGCAACAAATATTGCATTATCAAATATTACAATAAACATTCCATCTGTAGTTTCCTCTCCTGTTCTAAAACCAGCAAGCATGCTATTGTTAATTACACTGCTTTTTATTTTGTAGGCAATGTTCTATTATAAAATACCAGAAACTATACAAACAATTATAGCATCAATACATTACAATTGAAATTGAATTTTTAATTGTATGAATTACTTGAATCCCAGCTTTTAGTATAAACTATTTTAATTTAATTTTATTTTTTAAAATAAGGAAGCAATATTTTTATTTAAATTTTTATTGCAAAATTTGTATGTATAGCAAATATTGAAAGTCTAACAACAAAAATTTAAATTGTTGAAAATTTAGTTTATTATTTTATGACATTAAATTATTTAACAATTTTTATTAATTTAATGATCATATTAAAAAAAGTGTAATTATTTATTATGATTTAAAAAAGTTGTGAAAATACAAATTATAATAGTAAACACTATACGTTCAAATCCTTTTTAACCATTTACATTATTAATTACATAAGGGTATTATCAAAGTTGTCATTAAAGCAGCTTGTGTTACTGTGAATATATTTTCTATAAAATTCAAAGTCAAAATTTTTATTGAAACTTTACACAGAATAATATATGACTAAATGAACTTCTTTATATGTTAGGGATGTTAGTTTTAATTATCTTCAAGAATCATCAATTCATGAAAAGGCTTTTATTAACACTTCTTTAAATGAATTGTAAGTTTTTTTTATATGTATACTATTTTTATATGTATTTATTTATATGTATACTATTTTTTTCGAATTTTTGTTTATATATGTTAATAACATTTTGTGAACTAACCCAGTTCAAGAAATAATTTCCTAGTCTGTAGTTTTACAAATAAATGTTTTAATGTAAAACATAGCTAACTAACAATATATATTATCATAATTTATTTAGTACTTTTTTACCATATTTTATTTAATATTATTATAATAAATGTTAAACACTGCATTTTTTGTAAGTTCTGATTCACTCCCAACAAGGCTGTAAGCAACCACTATTAAGTTGAGAGTCCCTAGAAAACAAAGAATAAAGTTAAGAAGCAAGGAAACGGTTAAAGGAAGATTTAAAAAGTTGTGAGTTATATGAGTCATGAAAAAATGAAGATGAGAGAGATCAAAGATCAACGTTTTTAGAGCATTCAAGGAATGATACAGTAAAAGAATGAGACAGATGCTGTATGACAAGTATATATATATATATATATATATATATATATATATATATATATATATATATATATATATATATATATATATATATATATATATATTATAAGTATATATATAGGGAGAATGTGTTGTGGTTGAGGGAATCAGAAATTTTAGATCCTTTGAGCTGTGATCATGATAATGTTTGTAGAAAAAGAGAAAGAGATGGAAGTTTACTATGATGGGAAGGAGGCTCAAGTTTGGCAGATCAGTGGGTCCAACTATGTTTAAAATGCGTTTTTGGACCTTGTCTAAAAGAGAAAGAGCATCATTATGACAATAGTATTCTATACAAGGACAAGCTCAATGAAGAGATGCAACCTTAGCAGATGCTAATTTAGCAATCAATTGTATATATGGTTTCTATGAAAGGTCAGTAGTGAAAAATAATCCAAGAAGACATAAAGAAGAGGACTCAGTGAGGACTGTTCTAAGCAATTAAAAAGAGAAGACTTTTTGTTAAGACAGGAGTATAAAGTCACCTGCAAAAAGGGCTAATTTACAGTAAAGTTATTGGAAAGATCATTAATGTAGATAAAAAACAAAACAGGACCAAGGATAAAACCTTAAGTTACCCCAGAAGTTACTGGAATTGAAGAAGAGTGTTGGTCTTCAATGATGACTTTAATAAAGAAGTTAAAAATAAATGATTTGATAATCTCAAAAACTTCCCCAAATACATCATGGAAGCAAGTTAATGGATAAGACTAGCATTCCAAACTTTGTAAAAAGCTTTAGATAGTTGAGAGCAATAGCCCTAACTTCACTGCCTCCATCTAATGCACAATAAAATGTTTCAGTCACAGCATTGGGCAAGTTAGCCATAGAGCAAGAGGATCTAAAACCGTATTGGTTTTCTGGCAGAAAGTTATTTAGCTCAAGATGGAATGTTAAAGTTTTGTTGATCAAACACTATGCTAATAACAGGTAGAAGAATTTTCGGATGATAGTTGGATGGGTCTGAAAGTTCTCCAGAGTTTTTGAAAATTGAAACCACAGATGTTGTTTTTCAGCAGGCAGGAAAATAAGATTCAGTCAATCACATATCGAATAGTTTAGAGAGAACTGAAGAGTGTTCAGGAAAACACTTTGAATATAGTTCTACCTTATCCCTGGGAGAGGTTATAAGATCAGTCCCATAAATGATAGATGGAGTGTTATATATATATTGTTGATGACGCTGTTGAGGATTTTCAAAATTTCTCTAGTGTCTAACTTCTTAGATAAGATTTAAGATTTAGTGAACCATGATTAACGGAGTTTAGCATTAGACATCACCTTTTTATATTGATTTCTTGCAATACTAAATAGGTGTTTATTCTCAAGAGAGTTATTTTTTTAAAAAAGATGAAAAAATAATTTCGATTAGATATAGCAGCTGCACAAGAAGATAAAAACCGTGGATTAAAATAAGGTTTGATTTAGAGCCAATGAGCAGGAATAAAAGCTTCCATTTCTGCCTAGATCCAGGAGGATCCAGGTAGTAGGCGCATTTATCAGCAAAAAGAGAAAAGACATCAGCCCAATGACCATCACGAAAAAAAAAATGCTAACAGAATCCCAGTCAGCTTTAGGGTAGTAGTTATTAGTGCAATGTCTGGAAAATGAGATGTTAGCTATCTAAGAGAGAAGTTATGGACTTGAGTGCCACCAGGGCCAGTAGCGACAGATTGAAGCCATCCAGTGTGTTGAGCATTAAAGTCAACATTAACAACAATATTGGCAGAGGGGTAAAGAAAAAGTCTTGAGAAGAAAGAGAACAATATAGAACAAGGGCTAAGCAGTGGAATTTTAGTTGGATGCAGTTAACATCTGCCCAAGATAAGTATTTTTATCAAGGAACCATCTCTACCTTTTACTCATACATCAGTGTGTAATATCTATGCGTTGGCAAGAGCACAGATATCAATCTAAAGATTGATTCCAACATTCCTAGTAATAACACTTGTTTCTTTGCGAAGCATACATTTTTCTTTTTGGTGTAAATTGCTGTGAGATAAAATAGGCAAAATAAAGTAAATTTGTGTATTTTTATATAGAAGTTTTAAAAAATTATCGCAATTCTTAATTATCGCAATTCTAATTATTGCAAATCTTGATTACCAAATTTAAATGTAAATCAATAAAATACCATCAAATTTAAATGTAAATCAATAAAAAAATTTATATATATTATACATGATAATAAACATGAATAAAATTATAAATGTTATATATAATAATAATGTATATTATATATGATAAAATATTATATAGTATATTAAACCCTTTACAATTACAATAAGTAAGCTCAAGAGATTTACTTTAGGGTAAAAGTATCATTTTATCATTGAAATATATGCCTAAGAATTTTTTCTTTTTCATAATAAACATGTTTTCTATCTTCCATAATAAATATAAAGAAATTCTTTTATTCTCATCCCATATAAAGCTAAATACCAATCCCCAGTTATTTGTATAAATACAATTGAAAAAGAATAAAAACTATCCCAAACACTGATTCTTGAAGCCATGGTGATGCTCAAGATAGCTTAGAGTGACAAAAAAGTGGTTATTAGGAATTGAAGTCGTTCCCAGAGTTTATGTGTCTGACTGTTGCAAAAGGTTTTTCAACTTCAAATCAATTTTTTTTTAAAGCAGTTATTCTAAAAGAAAAAAATTGTTTAAAAGATTTATAAATGGTTTTAATGAGTTTACTTTAATACATAAGTGACCTGTAGATACTATGATTGTTGCTTTCAAATTTTGACAATGGATGCTTATGATCATGTAGTCTGTTATTAATTTTAAGAACCATATGCAAATTCATGGTTACAAAATCCATAGTTACAAAAATGTAGAAAAATTTAGCAGCATTTAGCATGCTTTCTGACATTTTTCACAACACAGAAATTGAATATACTTTTTTTGGCCTATATGCTGACACTCTTTGACTGAGCTATAAGTCAGTAAAAATACTAACTTTTAATTTAAAATATTTTAACTTTTAATTGCTACTAGGGACGTTTTTAAGTGGAACAGCTTTATCTGATCTACAGCTTCCAATTTTATTAAAACTTTCCTAGTAAGCCAATAGCAAAAAATGGATCTTGTAAATTTTGTCAGATGGAAAAATAAGAAAGATTATTAAGATAAAAAAAAGATTAAAAAGATAAAAAAGCACACTGTTACTTATTTTTACCTTTTTTTTTAAATTTTAAGTAGAATTTTGAATTATGAGTTTTGTCTACATCTGGTACAACTTGCTTGGTTTATGTTTTTATTAGGACTATAGTTCTTAACTAAATTTTTCTACATTGAGTTTTCAAAAAGACTTCATACTTATATTAGTCTACTCACCATATCTAAATCTTTTTTAAAGTATAAAAAATGTACTTTGGCACAATATTTAATGTTTGATTAAGCCTAAATAACCATTGATTGCCTCAATTGATATTGATTGCTTTGATAGACATTGTGATAAAAGACTTTAGTTTTTGATATTTTTTGCTATTTATATATATATATATATATATATATATATATATATATATATATATATATATATATATATTTTATAGATTATAGTTTTTTACAAAGTGTTAATTGTTTAAAACCTTTATTGTGAATACAGAATAAAGAAATAAATGAGTTTTTTATAATATTTTTGAAAATACTCAAAAGATTATAACTTAGACATTGCTAAATATTTTAAAAGTTTGTGAAAATCATGTTTATATAAAAAAACTGGAAACCAGTATATATAGAAGATACAGTATATAAGAAAATACATAATTTTTTGTAATATTTTTTGCTCTATTTGGTATTCTTTTCAAACTGTATTTCTTAATTGTTTTATTTAAATATATAAATTTTAGTAAAAAAATTTCTGTTGTTAAATTTATTAATGATTACATTATTCTTTATTATAGATTGTTAATCTCTGAAACAAAATATTTTCTTTAGGTATTTAGATAGCCAAAATGAGCCTGGAATACAGTACATTCCAAAAGCAGTCAACAAGAATAATGCACCATTTTTGACAACATTGTAAGGTTTTAAAAGTAAATGAGGGTATACTTACTATATATATATATATATATATATATATATATATATATATATATATATATATATATATATATATATATATATATATATATATACATATGTATATATATATGTATATATATATATAAATATATATATGTATATATATGTATATATATAGTTTTATTTACATATATATATATATGTAAATAAAATTATATATATATATTTTATATATATATATATATATATATATATATATATATATATATATATATATATATATATATATATATATATATATATATATATATGTATGTATGTAAATAAAATTAGCAAATAGCTAATGTTTATCATAATATAGTTAATATAGTTTTGATAATATGCTTTTACAAAACTATATTATATATATATATATCATTATAAAATTAGCTAATTGCTAATTCCTGGTACTGCAGGTAACAGTAACATATTTATTTATATATTAATAGCTCTAGTACAACTATGGAGCTCTCTTATACAATAATATCAAATATACAATAGTTATATGATAAAGTAAGGTTTTTCTTCATCATTCATGTATACACAAACGTATATATAATTATATATATATATATATATATATATATATATATATATATATATATATATATATAATATATATATATATATATATATATATATACATATGTATATATATATATATATATATATATATATATATATATATATATATATATATGTATATATAGGCAATTCCATTTTTAATTTGCGTTACAAGTGCAACAACTTCATCAAATATTTGCCTATTTAAACTGTAAATAAATTTTTAGCTATTTTGTATGAAAGCAGTTAGTCTGAAGAATAAAATAAGCGAAAAAATTTCAAGTCTAGCTAAAAGAGGGCGAACTTATTACTAAAAATGCCACTTAACTTACGTTAAACACAAAACAAGGTAAAAAAATTGTCACAATTTTTAGGTCAGATTTTTGCAAATCAGTAAAACGAATTGTATTGGAAATTTTAACGAGATGTTGAGAATTCTATACCAATTTAAAAAATTTAAAAATTTATCAAAAGTTAAACTGGCTAAGGAATTAAACTTGCTTTTTTTTTACTAAGTGTTTAACATATGTTGCTTCACTTACATTACCAAACAATATTATCGCAGATTTTTTATATCTGTTATTAGGAGTTAGATTTTTTAGAGTTACATAAAAAAAATGCATTGCAAAAGTATTGAACTCATTCATCAAAAGTAATTAACGAAAACAATTTTTAAAAACGGCACTTTTCCCAAGTGATTTTTTATTACATTTATGAAAGTTATCAAATGAAAGTTATCAAAAACAGTTTTTTCTGCATTACCAAGAGCAACTTTAAAAAATTATTTTTAGGACAACATTATATATATATAAATATGATCGGTATATGCGATTGTTTGCAACAGTAGGGAATGGGTATAAAATTTAAAATTGAAATCCTCCTTAATTGTATTTACAAATGATTTGTTTACTTAAACAAAAATATTAACCAAATTAAGTAAAAATGTAATTGTTCAGTATGCAACAAAAACTTTATGATAAAAACACTCGAACTTTATCAAACGCATGCAGTTTTAACTCACATAACAGGAATTAAAAATTAAAATGTGTTTAAACTAAGCATTGTTATTCAAATCTTTAAATTTAAAAACGTAATATTTAATATTCTTTTGCATATATTATTAAAAAGATTTTTAACTAAATTAAAAAAAAAAAAACAATATCATGATTTTGTTAATTTATGTTACATAAAAATTGCAAAAGTTATTTATATATATATATATTTTTAAATATATATATTTTTTTAAAGTATAAAATCTTACCAACAACAAATTGAACATGTTAGCTCCATTTTTACAGTAAAATAGTTCAGATTATGCAATTCATGATTAAAATAACATAAGTTCATGATTAAAATAACATTTTACTATGATTCTTTTAATTATGATTTTACAATTAGTAAAACTGTAACTTTCGGAAGCATAAAAATGACTTAAGTAAAATAATTTTATTACTAAAGGTATATTTTAAATAAATTTTCATGTCTACATCAATATTCATTAGCTAAAAGTTTGCAAAAATTAAAATAAAGTTGGATTGCTTATATATATATATATATATATATATATATATATATATATATATATATATATATATATATATATATATATATATATATATATATATATATATATATATATATATATATATTATATTTTTAATAATTGAGTTACAAAAATATTTTCTTTTTCAAATTAATTGTTAGAAATTTGCCTGGCAATAAAATTACCTACATTTTGAATGGAACATTTAAAGACCTGAGTACAATGTAAGTTTTATTGTACTTTAATATTTAGTATTTTTTATTAATCTTTATTTTTGTGTATTATGCAACTAAATATTATATATACATATAATACATATATAATTTTTCTAAGAGCAAATTTAATCACAATTTTATATAGCAAAATATTATTCAACGGTAATTAACTTGGATTGCTAAAATTTAACAAATCCCAAAACTATCCAAACATGTTGTGTAGTAAACGAAGTTTTGAAATTGATTATTAAAAAAAAAAATTTTCATCAACAGTTTTAGAAATATTGTTGTTTTACAACAAATTATTTTTATTTGTTTTCCTGATATTTTTTTAAATCCATTTGATTTACCATTGATATCATCAAGTATGGGAGTTAAAATCAAGGTATGGTCCCAAGATCAGCGCAATTTGTTTATTAACTTGTTCAAGCAAGGTAAAACATTTAAGTTGATAAATTAAACAACTGGAATGGCATTAGGAACCATCAGCAATCTGATTAAAAAATATAATATGCTTGAATATGTGCAAAATCAGCCAAGATCCGGAGCTAAGCATAAAATAACATCAAGAATAGATCAACATATTGTCAAGGTAGTGCAAAAAAATCTATTTTTATCAGTACCAAAAGTGTCGAACCTCCTTGAGAAAGATATTGGGGTACAAATGAGTTCATGTACTATTCGAAATTGATTGAAAGAAAGTAGATTCAAAGCAAGAGTTCCACGCAAGAAACCATTCCTTTTAAAAATCCATCAAAAATGAAGACTTGCATTTGGTAAAAAATATGTAAATATGGTATCATTCGGAGGAAAATTTTGGAAAAAAAAGGTGAAGCATTCACACTCAGTTGTAATCAAGGCACAGTAAAATTTAGTGGAGGCAATGTTATGGTATGGGGATTAATGGCTTGGAATGGAACAGGAAAACTGGAGTTTATTGATGGAGTTATAGGCTCTGAAGTTTATGTTAACATTCTCAATAAAAATCTTCTGGCATCAACTAAAAAAATGCGAAAACATTTTATCTTCCAACAAGACAATGATCCTATGCATACATCAAAGAAAGCAAAAGAGTTTTTTTATCCAAAAACAAATTGAGTTACTTGAATGGGCAGCGCTAAGTTCAGATCTCAGTCCAATTGAACATCTCTGGGTTATTACGGATAAAAATTGTGGCACACGATGTCTAAAAAGAAAAGAAGAGCTAAAGATCATGCTTCAAGATGTTTGAGCTGGTATTGACTCAGATACGACAAAGAAATTATTTGAATCAATGCCATGTCAACTTGCAGAACTCATATAAGCTAAAGGGGATCCAACTCGATATTAAAAAGTCATAAAAATAATTACTTGGAGAAGTGTTAATCTTTAAGTCTTATTCATTAAAATTTTGTTCATATATTTATTTAATGCTAAAAAGTTGCATAGTTTAAATGTATCTTAATTTTTTATCAATTGAATTTTTTTTTTTTTATTTGGATATTGAATTCATAATGAAATTTTCTTTCAGAATAATCATTTTTTTTATTTTTATAAAGTTATTTTTTTCTGAAATAACATGACAAAGTTTATTTTCCATAATAAAATGTTTGTTTGGATACTTAATTCTCTTACTGTTTATAATGTATCTTAATAATGTATATAACAATGCCATTTTTTTATAAATCTCTATAAATGATCATTTTATTAATGATCAGGCAGGATGGTATTCAGTAAATTAAAATTATTTTTAATTAAAATTATTTTTAATTTATTGAATACCATCCTGTTACTTTTTTTCCTCCACTTTGAGCACTTGTGTTCGTGTGTTGTTAGTGAGGCCTTTTTTCAAAACTCTTCAACCTCATACCAAAATTTGCAAAATATGTCTCGAAATGAAGTGTTTTTTTTTATAGTCTGTCTGCAGGTCATAAAGAAATTGAATATACTTCTTCACAGGATTGCTATAATTCAGAAGGGTGTTGGTTATTAGGTTTTAGGGAGTGCCAAATATACACTCAACTTTATCTTTTGTAACTCCTGGTAACTAAACTTCTCTGAAAAGTGACAACAGTAACTACTAATTAAATCAATTCACTTAGTACCACTGAGTGAATGCTGTTACAAGAGATAATTTTTTTTGTTAAACTTCTTTGCTTCCAACAAGGCTGCAAGCAACCACTAATTAGAGTTAGAAGTTACTGGAAGAGAAAAGATCAAGATTGTAGAGCAAGATAACGATTGACAGACAACTTAAAAGTTTTATTGTATTTCCATTTAATTTTAATTTAGAAATTATGGAAAAAAATTACTAAAATTAGAAAATGCTCAGGTATGAGGCAAATGGAATAGAAAAAAATATATTGGGGTAATTTTAGTTCTATTAAATGCTAAATAAAATACTTACATTAATAATAGTTATTTTAGTAAAACTTTTAGTAAATAAATTTACTTTAGTGAATTGTGATATTAAATGCTAAATAAATAAACTTACATTTAAACATTAAACATGTCAACTACTTTTTAGAGATTAAACACTCTAAATTCATTCATTGACATTTTGACAAACTCAGAACAATCTGTAATACTTGGAGATTTTATTTCAGACTAGGTTGGTGTAACTAGGTTACACCATTCTAGGAATTTCACAAGGTTTTGCTTTTAGACTAACTTTGGTATATTCATTAATAACTTTCCATTTGATATCTAATCAGATATTTGCAATATATACGCAGATGACATAAGCGTCATGAAATTTAGAGGGAACAATACAGCTTTTGATCCAATCTTGTCAATACTTTTACATGGAAGCAAACCTGGCTAGAAACACGAAAGGAAACATATTCTGTTTTAAAATAATATATTTCCTTTAGTGTTTATTTCCATATAAAGATTGTTTTTAATTCATTTTCCCCCTGATTCGTCTTGAATAATAAACTTGACAAGTCTGTACACCATTGATTTATTTTCATAAACCATTTGTATTTGTAGAAAAAATACAAATGCTCGCTGCTCAAACAAACTATCAACTCTGCGCTAAAGCCATATTTGTCAAGGTTTGTCTTTCGGAGTTATAGAGTTGAGAGAGGGTTACAACCACAATTAAGTAGCCTCCTTGTCTTTAGTGGCCTTCTCGGCCTTGGGGAGATGAATTGAAAAAGAATATATATATATATATATATGTATTTGAAGAGGTCAAAGTGTTTCTAGAGTTTTAAAATATTAGAACCACATATTTAGCACTTTATAATAGTTTAGCAAGGATTGAAGAGAATTCTGGAAAACACTATTGTGACACTATAATGGAAATATTGTCTGAACCACAAGCCTAAGAAAATTAAAATAAAGAATTGACTTTAGCATTAAAATCCAAAATGTTTTGAGTGTTTAACAATGAGTTAACACCTGTTTAGTTAAAATAGCAGGAAGAGTAAAAATAGCAGGAAGGCCATTAGATTCAAATTAGAGGAAAAGTTCTTTGCAAATAACTCTGCTTTATTCTGTGAAAAAGTAATATGAGCAAACCCATTAGAGGTAAAATGTTAAGTTAAATTTAATTAATGAAACTGTTTTATATGAATTTAGTTAGTGTATTGTATATGGTATGAACAAGCTTTATTTAAGGAAAGAAAATACTTGAGATTTTTTATATTAGAGAAACAGCATAAAAAGGGAAGGCTTAAGCTTGATGATGATGATGATGATGATGATGATGATGATGATGATGATGATGATGATGATGATGATGATGATGATGATGATGATGATGATGATGATGATGATGATGATGATGATGGTGATGATGATGATGATGATGATGATGATGATGATGATGATGATGATGATGATGATGATGATGATGATGATGATGATGATGATGATGATGATGATGATTTACATATATAAATATACATGCATTTATGTTTAAAATGTAAAATTTATTTTGAATAAAATATATATATATATATATATATATATATATACTTTAGGACGTATTGATGTTTATGCAGTGTATATATTTGTGTATATTGTCTTTACATTGTATATATATATATATATATATATATATATATATATATATATATATATATATATATATATATATATATATATATATATACAAGTTTATTTTACAAAAAGAAACCCTAATGTTCTTAAAAAACAGACCAGTAATAAATTAGTAAATTATTTAATTATTAAGTATTTTTTTTTTTTTTTCTAATTTGTATATATATATATATATATATATATATATATATATATATATATATATATATACATACATATATTTTTAATTTATAAATTTTTTCTTTTTATTGTGATTTAACAATAATAGAGTTGTTACTGCGTGACAATATTATTATTATTTTTTTGATTTTAGTGACTTACGCAGTAATAGTATTGTTGCAATTGAAGATGGTTCATTTTCTGGCAACATAAAAAAAATGTGTGTCTTTTTTTTTTGTTTTTTTAAGAAAAAGTACAAAAATAGTAATGTTTGATATTTTTTGTATAAAAGTTATAATTTTTTAGTGTTTTGGATAACAACATGTTTAATTTCAATCATGGTAGACAATTTGCTTTCTTAAGTCAACTTGATTATTTGTAAGTTTTTTAATTTATGTATGTACCATTTTGCATAAAAAAAATAAATTAGGAATTTGCATAGTTAGCTGATAAATAAAGTTTAGAGAGCTATTTAACCACCTATAATATACAGAAAAAAAACCTCTGCCCAAAACCTTTTTTCTGAAAAACTGATAAATGTTCAATTAGACCCACAATACCTCTTAGATCAATATTACTTCACCCTACCCTATGTTACTCCACCCTACCCTAAGTTACTTTACCCTACCCTATGTTACTCCATCCTACCCTAAGTTACTCTACCCTACCCTATGTTACTCCACCCTACCCTATGTTACTCCACCCTACCCTATGTTACTCCACCCTACCCTATGTTACTCCACCAACCCTATGTTACTCCACCCTACCCTATGTAAAATAATAAAGTCAACTACAAAGTAAAACTATTATTGAAAATTATTTGAAAGCCATGCAGAAGCCTAACCTGTAGAGAACATTAAAGTGTAAATTTAGAGTACAATACTTTTAAGAAGTTTAAAATTTAAGTGTAAGTTTAGAGTAAAATACTTTTAAGAAGTTTAAAATCTTGACAACTTTGAAAAATTTGATAAGACATCTTTTAATAAGATGGCTTATCAAATTTTATGTTTTTAATTACCATAAGAAATAAATACCTCAAAAAATAGGAAAACGTATTGTGTTTTAAATAGGGCTGTACCGGATTTAATTTTTCCAAATCCGGTCGGACCCAGATTCGCCGGATTTCTACTATCAAATCTGGCCGGAATTGGAGCCGGGTTTCAAAGCAAAACTACAGGAACCAAAATCCTGTACTACTTGATGCTGAAATGGTCAACAATGTTGACTTTTTAGATCACCAAGTGACAGTTGTTTTCTATTAAACATAATTTTTGTTGTTTAAAAGTTTTATAGCAATTTCTATAGAAATTAATAGACATTTTATATAAATTTTATAGAGTTTCTATAGGTCCATATGTTTCAAAAATTTAGAGAATTTCTATAAAACTTTTTTTTTCTGGGATGTTGTCACTCCGTCGCTGTAGTGAATCAGCGTGTCAATATATTTCTGATTCTTCCAGATATTGGCTTAGCTGAGTGTCAATGTTGGTAATTGTTGTTCATGAGCTGTTCCACAAGCAAGCGTAGACTGAATAATTTCATCTATATATATTGCCATTGTAATGATGATAATGTATAAGAATCATCCAGCCGGGATTGTTTTGCTGGATTTTCTTTAGTTTTCTCAATCTGCTGCTCAGCATGCTCATTAACTTCAATCTTGCTTTTTCACCTGTCAGTGTCAGCCTGTAACAAGAAGAGTTTAGTTTGAAATCATGGATCAACCAGCGTCACCACTATATAAAAAAGTTTCTCCTCAATGCCTTTAAAACGCTCATCCAATGACTTGATAAGGATTGACTTCATAGTCTTTACACCTGCATTATTGCAGAATATCGTGTGTCTTCTTTTCAGAATTTTTTGTTGCGTTGTTGTTTGAAATTAGGCTTAGCTAATTAAATTGTAAAGAAATGTAAATACAGATACCAAAACAAACATGAAGTTCATAGACTATAGAATTACTAAAAACATTGATTTGTAAAAATTATGGATCAACCAGCGTCACCACTATATAAAAAAGTTTCTCCTCAATGCCTTTAAAACGCTCATCCAATGACTTGATAAGGATTGACTTCATAGTCTTTACACCTGCATTATTGCAGAATATTGTGTGTCTTCTTTTCAGAATTTTTTGTTGCGTTGTTGTTTGAAATTAGGCTTAGCTAATTAAGTTGTAAAGAAATGTAAATACAGATACCAAAACAAACATGAAGTTCATAGACTATAGAATTACTAAAAACATTGATTTGTAAAAATCAAATATTAAGTATACATGTTATCATGGGCAAGAAAGATGTAATAAATATCTGACCAAAATTCAGAAATCCGGCCAAAATTATGCTGGATTTGCTAACATTTTACCGGAGCCGGATTTTGGCCTGAGCAGGAGCCAGATCCGAAATTCGGTACAACCCTAGTTTTTAAGCATCCATTAAGTACAAAAACAATAAATAAGAGTTTTTTTCAAAAGTTTTTTAAAAGTGTTTTATAATTTATTTCATAGTATTTTATGATTTATAATTTAATTAAATCATAAAATACTATGAAATAGTATAGTGTTTTATAATTTATTTCATAGTATAATTTATAGTGTTTTATAATTTATTTCATAGTGTTTTATAATTTATTTCATAGTATAATTTATTTCATAGTATTTTAATCAAATAAAATTAAGATTTTTATGCGAAAATATAATAAATATAACAAGTATAATAAAAATTCCCTAAAATATAATAAATACTCAAAAAAGGCTTTATTATATTATCTGAATTTTTCTTTTGATGTAAACAATGTGAACTTATTTTCTAGTTTATCTAAGCCATTTATCACTATGACGTTTTTGTTCTGCTATCAAAATGACATTTAACAAGTTCTTAAATTTTTAATTAATAAAGAGTTTTGTTAAACAACATCATTTATATGAGATATTTGCCAAATTCTTAAATTTTTAGTTTGAAAATATTTAAAGATTTTACACTTTACAAAATTACAGAAAGCTTTTTATTAATTGAAACAATCATTAATGTTTTATAGCAATTATTCAAGACAGATGGTAATTAAAATTGTCAATGTGTTGCAGTGTGCATTAAAAAACATATTATATTTAATATTTCCTAATTTATTTTGTATTTGGCAAGTATTTTACATTAAAACCTGTCTCCTAAAATTACAAATCAAAAACTACCAAAGTTGACAATAAAAAGTTTTTCATTAAACAATTTCAATTTTAAAATTGACTCAATAATGCATCACTTTTTTGCAATCTTGACCAATAATCGTTCAATTTTAAAAATAAAATAAAATAAGCAATACATGTTTTACAGAATAAATTTCATTAAATGTATTCTTGCATGATTAAATACATGATTAAATAATAATTTCGAGAATACTTGTACCCGATGAAAAGTTTAGCAAATAAATGCTGTTAATTAAACTTTCATAGGGTTAACTCTTTTGCAACCAGTCGTTTTAACAAAAATCTTTACGCTGTGACTGCATATTTTTTTTGAATAAAATTTGGATGACATACCATTGACAACTAATTAAAATTTGAATAGTAAATCTCTTTAAAAACAAATTATATATCAATAAAAAGCTAAACAAATAAACTTTTTACTTTAATAAGTTTTTAACACGCATTATTGAACAATAAGAAATTCAAAGTGCTTAAAACCATTATTATTTTAAATAGTAACTAAAACATAAAGTTCAAAACAAAACTCATTTAATGTATAAAAAGATTATTTTTCTTCAAAAAATATTTGTAATTAATATTTGCAATTAGCTAAATACTTATATAAGTTAAATTTAAACTTACACTTCTACAAGTTGAATTTTACAGTGTAAATGCAGTTTTATTTTAGAACTAAATTTGAAGATTTTTTTTTTTAAATCAAGAATTACTCATGATTTTGTCAACTTGTTATGCCAACTTTGTCAAATGATAACCTTTTACAATAATACAATATGCCTATTATTTGTTCTTGATTATTTAGAAAACTGATTAAACTTTAAAACAAATAAATTATGTGTCTAGAGTGAAAATTTATTTACAAAACATGATAAAACGTGAAGCATACTTGTTAAACAATACAAAATAATTTATTTAACAGAATATCAATAATGATAATAATCATTTAATAACTAAAAATAAAACACAAAAATAATTTATAGCAATAGATGAGCCTAAAATATCTGAAATATTTTATTTATATTTTTAATGCTTTTAACTTCGTGAAATTAAGAAAATAAAATAACTAAATTCTATAGTGATTTATCATTAAAAACTTTTATATAATAATAAGGAACTAAACAAATTTTTTAGTAATCATAAAAAAAAGAATTTTTCTTATCAAAATTTTACAAATTTTACTCTTTGGAATTAAACCCGTTTAAATAAATTATAAAGTCTGTAGATTGCGGCATATATTTTAAAGGCTTTAAGAGACTGGCTAACATGAAGATGACAAGCTTTGAGTAAAACAACAAAATTTGTTTTTCTTGGTATACCTTTATTATTTTGTTTTACTTAAAATTCTGCCTAAACATCTTTTTTTATCATTCTCTTTAATATGAACACAACTTGTCTTGGCACTTTAGGATCCCTTTAATAGAAGTTAGGATAGCAACTTATCTCCTCCAAAAATATGGAGGAGATAAGTTGTTATCCTAATTATGCCATATGGTTTTCCATTTATAGTTTTTGTTTTTATAAGTGTGTATATAAACATTTTTATTTCATTTTTAAAAATCATAATCTACATATACATTTTTTAAAAACAACTACAAACTGGAATAATGCTCAAATTTATAATTAGCTCATAGTTTAAACTAGTGAGTAGTAAAATATATTTGTAGGTGTATATATTTAGACTAATTTTTAATTATTTTTCAAACAAAGCATATTTAATTTTGACAGTTGTCAAGACAAAATTAAAAATTAATATATGAGCTATATTAATTACGTTTGTTTAGAAACACACATGAAAATCAGTTGAATTACATAAACAGTATACTTGCAAAAGTTTATTAAATGCTGATGAGCAAAAATGTAAAACAAGTTTTACTTACAAAAGTATAACAAATGTAAAAATCCAACAAAAATATTGAAAAATAAAACAAAAATTATATGTATTTTTGAGGCAAAGTGCCTGTTCTTTACTGCAGTAAATAAAACAGCCAAAAACTAACTACCCAAATTTGTGAAGAATATTTCTGAAGAAGTGGTATGGAAGAGGAGTATTGTAAATGCATTCTTATTTAATTTTGTTATAGATAAGAAAAAGAAAAAAGAAAAAGAAGTAACTTGTTATACCAATGATAATTAATTGCTAATAACAATAATTACTTAATTATATTTGGAAGACAAAGACTAAAATTTTTTAATTAGATGTTGATTAGAAATTTAGAAACTATTGTCAGGTTAGGTTATGCTGCTACTGGTTACATGTAACCCATTACAACCTGCTTCATGTCTTGCTGCCTTATAGGATACTTTTTTTTAAGCAAAATCTAGGAGAAGCCAACTCTGACTTAACACACCCCTTGTCCTGGCTAGAGATTTTCTCACAATAAAAATACTCATCTTGGGCATATATTAATGGTATCCAGCTACTGTCTCGTAAAAAGCCTCCTAGGTAAAGGTTTCAGGGGTTCTATCTGTTCACCCTTTCTTCATCTGTTAGGCTAGCCTAGATGTATTTATAATAAATTGTTTGCAGCTTAGGACGTTGAATATTGGATCTTCTTGACTCAATGCATGGGTTTTGCTTTTTTCTCTGTTTTTATGACAAGGCAACTCATTCTATTATCTCATAATAAGGGTACAGCTGTAAAACTTAGATTTATGGTTCTGACACCGGCTGGTAGTCAGGTTTTTTGAACTTTGTGGTAATTCTCAGAGAGGCTAATTCCATCAACAGTTGTAATGAATCAAAGTACTAACAGTACGATGTTGTTTATGGATGATGTAGCTGTTAGTACTATTGGTGTGAATTGTCAAGGCCACATTTAGAGCCCTTTATTGCAGCTTATGGTTTATTAATAATAATGAGACATTTGCTTAGACTTATAAATAGTGTACTGAGTACTATATGGGTTTAAGTGAAGTTCTTTAACAAATCTATCCCAAAAGCTGAAAAATAAATATTTGCTCTTTGTAAGACTAATTTGAGTTGAGACCTATTTGCTCTATGTAAGACTAATTTGAGTTCAGCTGTCTCATCTTATGATCTTAGTGTTGATGTTTTTTTTTCTTTAATTCGTAAAGACTCCAATAGCCACATGTTTGGCCAGGGGATTTACATTCATAAGAATTCACCCATTTGTTGGGAAACTAGGTTTGAAT